TTACTTGCCACACATTTTGAAGAACCAAAAGGAACATTGACGAGGTTACGTCTCGGATGACGAGGTTACGTCTCGGACATGCAGGGTTTAATAAAACTTTACGTTTGTGGGTGAACATCCAACAGGTAGATCTGGTATTGGTGCGGATATGGAAACATTAAAGCATATAAGAGTGAAAAATATAGGATGAGTCGAGAATAATTAAAAGAAGAATTAAGAAAGTATGGTTCGGAGACACTGAGCGAGGTATTTCAACATAAGATAAATAAATTACATTTCCTGAAGAAGCGGTCTTACAAGAATTGAGTTTAAATAGATAAGGAAAATACTAGCTCATACTCCAGCACAGTAGATGGCGATAATAAATCCAAACGTTGGCTGTCACCCGCTGTAAAATCCACAAACCCTAAAGGATCTGTTCTCCCTCCCACCTACAGGCGGCAGAAGCGAACCGCGTCTCATTCTGTTGAGGCCGTGACGGAGCTGAGGGCCGCGGCCGGCTCTGCCGCCCCGTCCTCTGCTCCCTTCACCCCGGCCAGGAGCTGAGGCTCTTCTGCCAGCCCTGCGACCTGCCGGTGTGTCTGGAATGCGCCGCCACGCTGCACCGGGACCACCGCTGCCGCCCGACACACGACGTCGTCGACCGTCATGGCGACCGGATACGAGAACTGGTCAGCGCTCGCCTTCGGCCTCGTCTGGAGCGACTGGAGGACTCGCTGCAAAAGGTCCCCAAAAAGACCATCCATCCATTTTCTGACAGCCTTGACTGGGGATGAGACAGACAGGACAAACAACCACACACCTAGAATTTAGAGAGACCAATCGACCTGACAGTCATGTTGTTGGACCTTGGGAAGAACCCGGAGAACCCGGAGAGAACCCACCATGCACAGGGAGAACATGTAGACTCCATGCAGAAAGACCCCAGGCTGGGAATCGAACCCAGGACCTTCTTGCTGCAAGGCAACAATGCTACCAACTGTTCCACTGCGCAGAAAAAGACCCATTTATATGTTGTTATCCAATATCAGCTGTCCATGTAGGTTTTCATATTCAAATGTAAAACATAACTTATTATTTTTCACATTCCGATTCTCCTGCAGGTGGAAATTTCTCAAGAACATTTGGAGGTTCGAGTCGATGAAACCGCCAATCAGATTAGAGCTTTCGCGCGCCAGTACGCCAGTGCTGTGGAGGCTCACTGCTTGTCTCTGCTGCGCCGCCTAGAGGAGATCAGGGTGCAACGCAGGTAGGACATCACTGCACTCTGCTGCAGCAGTAATGAGTTTTTGGACGGGGAAATGAAAACAATTCCCATATGCTCCTAAGGTCAAGGGTCAGCAACCATGACCATTCATTATTTTTATTTTACAATGTTGGAACAAATTACAAAAAGAGGAAAAAAAACTAGAAGTAAAACTGGATGTTATGCCGCTAACACTTAGCTTTGAGAGGCGGAAGTCAGAGCTCCACGCAACCAAACAATGTTCCGGCTGGAAAACTGTGCGTTAAATAATAAAACATAAATTACCCAAGCTTCGAGGCAGGTCAGTTTTCCTCAAGGAACTTTAATAATCGAGGTCTTTGAATCAGTCAACGAATCGTTTCAGCCCTAGTTCACCACAATCACTTCCTCCCTCCAGAAACCACCTCCACCTGCAGAGGGCGCAGCTGCAGCAGGCCCTGCTGGACTTCAGAGGGAGCGTGGAGTTTGCGGAGCGGCTGCTGAGCTGCGGCTCTGACGCCGAGATCCTCAGCGCTAAAGGAGTGACCCTGAGAAGACTGACCAGCCTGGCGGAGAGTGGGTACGACCCCCACCCCGCGACGGTCGCCCCCGACGACAGCGTCTGTTTCCTGCCCAGGGAGCCGGCCGGAGAGGTGGAAGGTTACCCGTTGGTGGGCGTGGTCCACTCCAGGACAGTGGACGTCAGCAGGTGCACCGTTGAAGGAGAAGGTGAGCAGCTGACTTCCTTCCTGTCTCGTCTTTGTCGTGTCAGTTGAATGAAATTAAGTGTTTCTCTTAGTTAAAGTTTGCGTCTCGTGGATTTTCTGACGCCGTGCGGTTACAGTTCAGTGATGGCGTCTTTCTGACCTTCCGCCCGCCGTGGCCGCAGGTCTGCAGCAGGGTACGGCAGCTCAGCGGGGACATTTCACCCTGGTGTGTCGGGACTCCGGCGGGGAGCGGCTGGCTGGAGGAGGAGAACACGTCCTGGTCAGCATCGTCCACAAAGAGAAGAAGAACTGGTGAGTGAACATGTCTGCTCCACCGCTGATCCAGAAAGAGTAAGAAACTGAGACGTCCAGAAATTCTTTTCATAAAGTTGTGAATTTTATAAATGATTGAATTTATTATGCAAACAATATTACCATGTGAATAAAATTCAAAACGCCTTCTGTTCAAAGTAAGTTAATAAGGCAGAGAAATGCACTTTTTTTTCTTTAACCTAATACAGATACTCAAGAAAAGCAAAAAAACCCCAAAAAAAACAGAAATTATTCATGTATATTTTACAGCTAACTTTCTGATTTTCTGATCTTGTTATTGAAATGAGTTATTTTTGCCCCTCAGCACCGTGGAGACAGTGGTGGCAGACAACAGTGATGGAAGCTACAGCGTCTCCTACAGGCCAGAGGAAGCAGGACAGTACTCAGTGTGTGTCTGTGTCAGAGCCCAACATGTTAAGGTGCTGAACCAGTCCAGAACCAGAACACGTTCTGCTGCTGTGATATTTGTGTTTCTGTTGTTTGACTACAGTGCATGTAAAAGACTCAGATTTATGAAGCATCCTGGAATAACTGTGCGAAGGTTTCGTCCACTAGATGGCAGTGAAACACTTTCAGTCGAGCCTTAAGGCAAATGTACAACAGGGAACAAAACGGGTTCAGTTCTGCTCACAGTGTTTTCCTGCAGGGTTCTCCATTTATTCTGAACGTGCAGAGAAAGTTGAGGCAGCACAACGGGACTTTTCACTGCTGCTCCTTCTGCTCCAGCGGAGGCGCTAAAGAGGCTCGCTGTGGCTGCCCAGGAACCATGCCAGGTACGTATAAATAAAAAACCCAAAAAACAATTGCTTGCATGGTTTTCATGTAGGCGCGTTTTAGACGATTCAAAACCTCCTGCAGGAGGATTTAAAGGCTGCGGTCACGGCCACAAGGGGCATCCAGGGAAGCCCCACTGGTCCTGCTGCGGCAGCACGGCGGAGAAGTCCGAGTGTTTGCCTCAGAGCGTACTGGCTGCAGTTTCCCCTCGCGGACACCTGAGAACTGTGGAGCTCTGATGGGAAGTGGAGGTGAAACCCAGGCTGCTGGTGAACACAGAAGGCTCCAACGAGGAGAGAGCAGGATGTCAGATGGACAAATGGAGTCACATGGACCAAAATCGTCGAGACAAAAGTATTCACTGGACAATTAAAAAAATTTTTTTGTTGTTTTTTTTGAGACAATAAAACATGTTTTCAATATGCAGTCGCGGGTTTTGATATGGGCGAAATGGGCAGTCGCCCAGAGCGGCATCAGAAAATGGTGAGACGCCCAAGAACTCTTAATAAGATTGATACCACTTGTATGCATGTACAGTGGAGTCTGTTTCCCTTATTTGACGTTAAGTACTTATCTGCTTTATTTTTTAAAAAGTATCAGGTAATTGCTTGGAGAAGAGGGGCTTGCATGCATATCGATATTTCAAGCCTACAAAGTTAGGTGCAGTGGTTAGATAGAGAACGGTCAGAACAACCGTAAGCACCAATGTGCTACTGCAAGTAACTACTAATGGCACAACCCTGACATTCTTGCAATCATATGTTGAACATTTTGGCAACAACTCTCCCTGATAGTATTTATTAAAGATGTGTCTCGTCTTTTATAGACTCCATTAGAAACAAAACTGGTTTGGGTGAGTTATCAGGTCAACTGGAGGACATAGGAGTTCATCCTGTACCTGGGCAGTGCTTAAATATCGCAACACAAATCACAATCTTTATATTAATGTCAATAGCTTAAGTTTTAAAATTCCACTCATTTTGTTATACTTAGCTCACATTGTTAGTGTGACTTGTTTTTTTCATTTATCTGTTTTTTTCTGCGCAGTTTGTCATGTCAAACTTTTGTTACTGATGTGTGCCTTGTCATTCTGTTTTCTTCAAATTTTCAATAAAGACAAAAAAAAAAAAAAAAAACGTTTCTGCCTTTTAATTCAAAGTGTAACATGCAGCAATCTATTGTGGCCGGACTTTATTCAGCTGATTGTTAACGCTCTTTGCTCTGTACAACGGCTGCTGGAAAAGTCAAGTGTTTGGTTGTTGACTTACAATCCAGAAACCACTTGCTGCATGCTTGTTGGTTGTGCAGGAGGCTCTACTTCTGATTTTCAAAGCTGTACATGTGTATAATTGAGCATCAGTTTGTAGCAATTTTCAAATGCGAGTGTAAACGTGATGGGACGCAGCCAGAGGCAGCTTGTATTTAAAGTAATAAGTCTTAAAACAGCTCATTATGAAAGCTGAAAATAGGCAGAACTGACTAAACTCTTATTAAGAATAATTTTGTCAAAAAAAAAGTAACGGACATGTTTTGTACATATCCTGACCTGATCAAAAAGGCACAGTAAGTTGCCTTTACAATGAATCAGTGTATGTAATGAATCCATATTTGAGTTTCCCTTTTTAAAATGAATTACTGAAACTTGAAAGTTATTGACTCACAGCTGAACCTCATGAACTTTGGCATCATCCCAAACTGCTGCCTCATCCCAGACCGTCTCTGTCCCCGACCCGAACGCCTCCCTTTGGGCTCGTGAAGCGGAAGCAGCCTAAATCAAACGTGTCCTCTGTGCGTGGTGATCACGGACGCGGCGCGGCTTTAAACATGACAGGAATCTATTAAAAACCTGACCGCACATTACTGCGCTTTATGGCGGCTGCGCTGTGCACACGGATGGCTCGCTCAGCCGCACAGGATTTATTTGTTACAAATGAAGCTGTGTGAGAAAACTTCAACTCTGTTTATTTGGGGAATAAAGCATGTCACTGCTCACCACTGAGTTACATCCTGCCGGGGTTTCACAACGTATAAAAAGTAATCCACCTGGTCTGGGTCGGAATTAAAGCGGGGAGGACATTTGCATCGAAACACCAATAATGTTCTTTATAAATTTAAGCGATGGTCAGAACGGCGCGCTCCCTCTTCCTCCTTTTCTTCTTCTTCTCCTCCAGTTGGCCTGTGGCATCAGCGAAGAACATCACATCCTCTTTGCTCTCGATCTCCCGCTGGAGGAACTGGAGGGCGGCGCTGTTAAAGCCCAGCACATCCTGAAGCAACAGAATTAGAAAATCAAGCATGTTGCAGAGAAAATAACGACTGGTTTTGGTGCTAATCAAAACCAATCGACTTGCTCTCTATGCAGACGATATGTTGAATTATATTTTAGTTGTAAAATCGTAATCTGCCTCCGACTTCAAGGTTATGAGATATAAGGTTCTTTTTTTGAGTTAGAAAAGATGAAAACTATAAATTCAGACTTCAGTGACTGATTTTAAATTCCGGAAACTGGTCATTACCCACTAAAAAACAAATTCCTCCTGGAGGGCCTGTTATAGTTTGACTTTTTTAGACATAAAGGTTGGGAGCGTAACACCTTTGTGTCGTTAAAGGCACGACGTTTGTTGATTAAGTTCAATCTAAATTATTCACAATTACATGCTAAAATAGTCTGTATAATGTCTGTTGCTGCACTTGATATAAAGATGTACAATAAATACAAGTAAAAGCCTGGGCTGTGTTCACCTTTCATGTCTTACAATTTTAACAAAATATCTTAAAGTTAAAAAATCAAAGGTAGTTTTATAAAACAGGAAGAGAAAAAAATCTGTAGCTTTAAAGCCACAAGATGCAGATGATGACTTACTCTGATTTGGCAGACTTTGGAGAGCGTGTTGGTCTTCAGCTCGTCGATGACGGACACCAACATCTGGTTACTGGTGATCTGACCGAAATGGATCCTGAAAGCAAACAATCAACTGAAGCTGCAATTGCAATTAAAATGAAAATTCAGAAATATCCATTTAAAAATGTGGAACATAGCAATATTGGGGTAATACGTCGGGTTTGCTTGAACAAATATAAAGAGATTTTGTCTTCGTCTATATTTTTTAAAGTGCATTTCAAAGAATCACATTTGAAACAACAAGATTCAAAATAACTTCCTCAATTTCACAAAGAGTTCAATTAAAAAAAGTTAAGTTGAAAGACCATGTCTTGGGAACTTTTTTGTATTATTTTGTTTTGTTGCTTTGTTAGCGTACTGTCTTTGGATGCCTAAAAATAAATAAACTATTAAAGAAAAACCTAAAGGCCTTCAGAAAGCCTGTTGAGCTGTAATGAAGAAAGAGATTCCAAGGATGTCTCTGAGATCGAGGCAAAGATGTCTATGTGTAGATAAAGTTAGCAATTACAACAAAACTAATTACGCCACACGTGAAATAATCGATTGTAAATTGACACATTCACTCGGCTCGGTCTTACTTGAGGAGGAAAAACAGGCAGCGGCAGACGAGCTCCACCTCCAGGCCCTGCTGGATGTAGGTGTTGAAAAGCTTCAGCAACTCAGGGACGTAAGAAAACGGCAGCACCAGCAGAGAAACCTCCAGCTCACTGGTGATCACCACAGAAGACAAAAATCATTATAGTAAAAGGAAAAAATATAGAAAAAAGAGGGAGGAATAGTTCTGTTCAATTATTTATTTATTTTTTACCTGGATCTGACTTTTCTTATTACATCTAAAACGTAGCGGGACGGCTGCCAGAGGAAAGAGCGAAATATCCAAGGTCACTGTCTGCATAAAAGAATTGTTTTTCCTTCTGCATTTAGAAATTCGCTTACAGTAACGTTTCCAAAGGCGACGAGGATGGGGTTGGCTTCAGGAGGAGGCAGCTGAAAAACGAGCCGATCAGCCGATTTTAGTGTCAGTCGTAACTCATGTGTGAGCATCTGAGGAAACAAGTTCTCACCTCTTTCCCAGCCTTCTCACAGAAATACTTGTGCTCCTCCGACTTCCTGGCTTCTTCTCGGTAAAGCTCCAGAGCCTCCATGATTCGCTCAGCCTGCAGGCAAGTGATCCATGGTTACCGTCCCCGTTTGGCCTTGGAGGCGCTAACGGAGCAGAAGGCGACTTACAGCTTTCACCGTCTCGATGCTCTTCTTCCCAGCTGGTGCCGCCTCGCCCTCCGTCTCTCCTGGTACCTGCAGGCGGAGCGGTGTTAGTCCACGGATCGCTGCCCTCAAACAGCGACAAACTGCCTTTTTTTATGAAGCCTGACTTGAGAGAAAATCGGTGCTACGGCCCTGATTATCTTTCTGTAAATTACACTGAACACCAGGAAAAGAGAAACTGTTTTATTTAAAGTGAATATTAAATGAACTGAAACCGGATTTTCAGCTGCTTAAGCTGAAACCAGGGTTTCAAGTTAATCTAAAGTTGATTTATCTCATTGTTTGGATTTATTGATTGTTGTTTCAAGGAAAGGGCTAATTTTCTCATAAAAAGCTGATGCTGCTCTGTCATGCAGCACTTTGGCTGAGTCAGCGCTACTCAGTCGATAACTTAAGGAGCTTGTTGAGAGTTTATATTTCAAAAAAAACCGCGTAACATGAATTTGTTTCCAATACTGGACTCTGTTTGGACCGTTTGTCTTTCCCACTCTGGTAAGACCCCGCCATCTTTATTACTTATCAACTGGCTCCACTTAAGGATGACCATTGGCGCCCTCTTCTGGATGGCAGCCAAACTACAGGTACAAAGAACAGGTCTAAGTTGGGTAATGAACTGGAACTAGTTTTAAACTATTAGTACTCAATTAATTGTAAGTCAACTATTAGCATCCCTTGCTATAATGTTACTTTAGCTAAGGTGAGATGGAAAAAAAAAACATATTCAAGTCAAGAAACTTAAAAACGGTGGCGCTCACCACAGGTGCGTCTCCTTTGGCCATGCTCTCTTCAAATTCAGCTTCTCTCTCCTGTAAACACAAACGGAGCGTAAACACAGACGCAGAGACGCTGACTGCTGGCCAGGCGCTCCCAGCTCACCATCTCCCGCTCCTCCTGCAGAATGATGGGCTCCCTGGTCCGCTCCCACAGACGCAGGGACTTGTCGTGAGACGCCGACACCAGGTGATCTCCGTTGGGGCTGATGGCCAGACACCAGACCTCCCGATGGTGACCCTGAAACCCAAACGGAGCGGGTCAGAGTTGGGGCTGTAGGCGGAGCCGCCGCTTCAGAGGACAGGCTTACCTCCAGGGTCTGAATGAGCTCGAACTTGTCAGCGTCCCACTGCTTGATCTTCTTGTCCTTCCCGGCGGTGAAGAACAAATGAGTCTTGGGGACGAACTGGAGAAACATGACGCTGGGGAGAGCAGAGAGGACACGGGGATGAGCAAATCTCTGAAACCTGCAACGCTTCGATTAAAGACGGGACAAAAAATCGAGACGCGAAGAGCGCGGTGAGGAGAAAGAGCGCGGCGCTGTTCCAGCGAACTTATGCTTGGTTTCTTACGGCGCGTGTCGGTCCGTACCTGTCGTCATGAGCGAACAAAGATCTGTGGCAGTCGCCGAAATCCAAACCCCAGATCTTTACGTTCCTGTCTGCAGAGCCAGTGGCGATCAGAGCGCTATCCTAGTTAAAGAAAGCAGAGTCAAGAGTCCGGCAGCGAGAGCAGGAACAGGTCAAACCGGAGAAAAGGTTAGTAATGTTCTTGCGCTAAAAGCCCTTTGATGATTGGCTAAGAGTTTGCCAGAATTTTCACCACCTGCAGTGATTTGGGATTCTAAGTTTGATTTCCTCTGGATTTTAACTTAACATCTGGTTGTTGTTGTTTTCTTTCCTTGCTGTGTGTCTGGCGCCACCCTCTGACCGAGGTTAACCCTGGGGCAACAAGCACTCAACCAATTAACTGGATGATAAATTGATCATTTCCACCCAGATTATTCATATTTCTGAAGGGTAATTTGGTTTATAGTCTTCATAATCCATTTTATTTATGGTTCTGGTTGTGTGTGTTCTCCATTTCTGTTTTATTTCTTGTTTTTCTTTGCGTTATATTTTGGATATTTAGTATTTGTCGTAGTTCCATTGGTCAGTGTTCATGAAACACAAAAGCTTTGATTTTTATGACAGGATGTGTTGTTTCATGATGGAGAGGAGAGAAGAGTCATCAGGGAGCAGGTGTGGGTGGTTTAAAGAGTCCGGTCTTTCTGAAGAAAGACCGGACTCTAAGTCCTCAAAGACCAATAAACTCAAGTTTATTGGTCTTTGAGGAGGTGCACTTGTTTTATCGATTATTGCCATTATTGATATATTACCTGAAAATGGTTTCATCACAATATTATCTCCATAAACAAAAAGACAAAGAAACAATAAAACCAGATTGCTTTCACATTCACAGCCGGAGTCACTCACATGTGTGATGTCCAAACAAAGGACAGGCAGCTTGTGTCCATACAGAGACAAGAAGAACTGAAACCGAAACAAGGACAACAGGCCGTCTGGTTGGTTAACACGATTGTCGAATCGAATGCTGGTTGATGGGATCTCTTATGGATACAAGAGATCTACCTTCAGGGTGTCCGTGTAGAAGACCTTGACGGTGCAGTCCAATAAAGAGACGGCCAGCAGTCTGTGATCAGGAGAAAGCTTCACACACAGAACGTCTTCATCCAGCTGCAGCGTGCGAGTGTGTTTCACCGTCAGACGCCTGGCAAAGAGTGACAGGAAAATCGCAGCCTTTCAAAATCGCATCAGCCAGAAAAACTGCAACCGGTGCAAAAAGCCTGCTGATCACAAAATATCTTCTCTGGTTATCTTTAATTCCGTTACTTTATTTATTCTTTGTTCTGACACGTTTTTTCTTCTCTTTCTGGGTGGGAAAGAGAGCCTTTAATAAACAAGGAATACAAGGAAAACATGCTAATAATAATAATAACAATTATTATTATATTAATATGATAATAATTTATAATAATAATTATTATTATATTTATAATAATAATAATAATAAGATCAATCCAAGATTAAAAGTCAAAAAACGATCCTAACCTAGGATCTGTTCTGTGTTTTGTCTTTGTCTTCAATGTATCCATTTTAATTTGTACAGCTTTATTTTATTGTTTGTTCTTGTATCTAAGTGGTTATTATGTAGGTCAATACCTGTTTGCTAGTCTGCAATGTTTGGTTTTTATGCACCGATTTATATATTTTTTAAAAAGAACCTAATCTGCTAATTCCACGTTTGGCCGAACCCAATTAATTTTTCTGGACCAAAAAATAAAATGTAAAAAAAAAATGGCAACAATAGAATAACTATTAGTAATTGAGGATGTGCAGAAAATGACCTGGTGAAGTGGATCCTTAAAAAAAATTTAAAAAACAAACAAAAACATTTGAGACCCTTAAATTGTTTTGTGCAAAGTGTATTGATGGTATCTTGTTGTTCAACATGGAACTCACTTCTGGTCCGTTCCTTTGTCTTTGACGAGCTCAAACTCCCAGAACTTTACCGTCTTATCAGCACTTCCAGAGATAATTCCCCTCTGCGAGACACACGGAAAAACCAAACCACAGTAAGTTACTATCAATTAATCCGGACTCGTACGGTGGAGCCCGTCCCAGAATTCTCGCGGTGGTCCGGTTTACCTGATCCGGTGCCAGGCACAGTGACCACACAGCTCCACTGTGGGCGTCCACAGTTTCCAGAAGGCTTCCTGAGGCCAGGTCAAAGATCAGCAGCTTCCCATTCTGACGTGAGAAGAAGAGAATCGCAGAGTTGAAGGAAAGGGACAAACTTTGGGGACGCCTTGACGCTGGACACGACCCACATGGAGTTCAAATACCTTCGATCCCAGGATTATCTGTCTGTCTCCGGGCACAAAGAGGGAGCAGAGCGCGTATTCACACGCCATGGTGCGAATCACCTGCAGCGTTGACCTGAGACACGCACAAGAACCTCCGGTTTAGGGCAGAAACCGTTAATCAAACTAATCGTGACTAATCAATTAGTTGAATGATTGTCAACTAATCGATTGATCACTTGGTTATACAGACTCAGAAAAGTCAATTTGCTAAAAAACAACTCTTTTACTGTATTTAAAATGTATTAATGGTGCATCCCTCACATTAAAAAAAGGTAGGGATGCACGGTAAATCGTCAATACCATTGGTATTGACGATATTAGTCATTTTTTAGCATATTCAATAAACCAATCTGGGCCGATATGAACAACTGACATTTTGTTCATCTTGTTGCCAATGTTTCTTATCAGATTAATCAATATTCTGCGATTAATCAATGTAACTTTAAAAAAAAAAGATTAATGATCATTCTGACAATATATAACATTTTTTAAAAAGTTGGCAAGAAGTTGGCAATAATCAATTATGACAATTAATCGTTAATTATTTAGAAGACCGATTCATAGAGATCAGAACTAGTTCCCGGGTTTTGCTTTCCGGTCGGCGCCGTCACCTGTTCCAGACTTTGACCGTGTCTCCGGAGGCCGACAGGACGGCCAGGTTGTCGGAGCTGAAGGCCAGCGTGCGAACGTCGGTGCGGTGCCCGCCCAGCGTGAGTCGGGCCGTCTTATTAGCCGCCGGGTTCTTGTCGGCGGTCTTCAGGCTGTAGGTCTCAACGGTGTTGTTCTGAAGCAGCAGCGCCACCTTCAGCTCTCCGCCGGCACACGACAGGACGTCCACCCACCTGAGGGGAAAATACGAACATAACCGTAGCAATAAACGTGTAAATCCTGTCTAAACGTTGTGATCTCCTCTCTTTGTGTCTCACCTGATCTTTGCAGAAGCCTTGATGTTCGTCAGTCTAATGATCTCGTCCTTCAGCATTCTCTCCACCACCGGCTCTGCTGTCTGATCGCCTGCATCTCCCTGCGTTCTGCAGCAGGGGGCAGCAGCACACCAACAATCAGATTCTGATCTCAGACATCACATCCAAACTCACAGAAACTGACAGCAGCTTTAGGGCAAATAACAAGATGAAAGGTTGGTGAGAGTACAACAAAGTCCACAACTTTAATAATAAATCCTTTAACTACTTGTACATCAGTGTTATTTTGGTTAAACTGTATTATAGGAGGTAAGATAAAGCAGTAAAGTGTCTAGTTTTCCAATTATAAAATACCAAGCTCTGCATCTAAATCATCCTGTTGTTTTGATACAGGATGATTTATCTGCCCAGGACTGTGCGTCACATCAATGGGTTTGTCTGTGCAGAAATGTGTGAATTATCTCCTATGAAGTTGTCTGCGGATGTACCTCAGGGATCCATCCTCACATCCCTTCAGATTCCACTTGTGTGTTTTAAACGTAGCAATCACATTTGTACCTTGATACTGTAATTTATACACATTGTTGATGCTCACTGAAAAATTATTTGGGTTAGCTTGTATTTATTGTAAAAGTCTGGAACTCCTTTTTTTGGCCGGGCACTTATTAATTTAAATCTATCCATTATCTATATCTGCTTGTCCCTGAAGAGACAATGGAGAGCTGTAACCTAAACAATATCTTAGACGTAATGTTAAAGTCTAAAATTAATCCATCAGCATCATCTGAGTTCCAGTCTTCTGACGTTAAACTTCCACGTATTTATTGAGAGTTTTTGCTTTTTCCCCAAATACAAACTGGATGTCTGAAGTTAAACTGATGGTACAAACAGAAACATGTCTGATCTGAGCTCACTTGGCTGCTTTCTTCTTGGCTTTCTTCAGCTTCTTGTTCATTTTTCTCTGCACTTCCTCCTCAGACAGCACCATGAACACTTCCAGTACCGCGTCGTTTCCCTGGTCCAGAAGGGAGAGACGCATTGGTCATTGTTGACGCAGAAAATGTAGACCGGAAACACGCCAAGTGATGTCACAAGAAAGGGACGAAGCCAAGTGATGAAAGACAGGAAGATCAAAAAGAGAGGGAGGCTGGAAGGAAGGAAGGACAGAATGGAACAAAAAGTCTTTAAAAGAAGAAGGACAGAAGGAAGGATGGCAGTGAGGAAAGGCAGACGGGTTCAATGAAGAAGGGAAGTAAGAGACAGTGCAGGAAGGAATGAGATACGATCAAACGAAATGAGAAAGGAAAGAAGTAATGTCGGGGACACGTCTGCATGAAAACAGAAATCTTTTTCCATTCCTTTTTTCACTTTTCCAGATGGGGATAATATTGAAATCAAATAATATGATGTAAAAATTAAATGAAAGACATTCTTAACGTTTTTTTTAAAAGACATTGTTAAGAAGAGCGTAACATTTTATTAAAACCAGAGAAGAGAGGATTAATTTGTTAAAAAAGAAAGAACATGATGTGTCCATTCGGAGGAGAGCAGCAGCTTCCAGAGAATCCTTCACTCACGTGGCAGGCGATGACTCTGGCCTTGGAATCTGCTGTCAGCGACACGACCCGATCTCTGGCTTCTCTCAGGATGGAGCCGACCTTCTTACAGCTCAGGATGCGCTGACGAGGAGACCGGAGCAAGACGGCACAATTACAGGCACGCAAACAACAACAACAGCTTCCTGTGTTGAAGCCACGGGAACATTTAGGTATCTGACGTATAATGCCATCGGATGGACTCACTTTCACATATTTGACCAGTATCAAGTATTTTCACTTCCGATACCGATATCTGAGGCTTAGTGTTGGCCGATACCAATCCGATAAAGAAAAGCAGAGCTGCATTGACTTAAAACATTTTTCTCTCTTTCTTTTTTTTTACGCAGGCATAAATGTACTGAATTACACATTTATGTGATACCTGTGTATTGGTGCAGCTTCACAAACTGGATCAAACATCTCTCAATCAGAGAAATTATAACAATGCAATGTTGACTACCTTTGGTCAAACATGTAAAAAAAATCAAATGAATAAATAGTAATAATAATAAAAATAATAATAATAATAAAACATGAGATCAATCAAAGCACAACACGTAGAATTAGACTGAGTAGATCTGCCCTTGTGGTTCAGGTGCTTTGTGACCAATACCCAATCTAGACTTTTTTTCCAACATGTGGAGCGATGCAGATATTAATATTGGATCAGTGCACGTTTATTTTTCACATTAAGAAAAAAATTAGAGTGTAAATATGTGAATATTTCCTTCCTGTGTATTTGAGAAGGATTTCCTGGGACAAATGGACTAAATGTACCTCCTCCACGCTCTCCACCTCCTCCTCTTCTTTACCATCGTCATCCTCATCGTCTTCCAGCAGAGTTTTCCCCTTCTTCACTCTGGGCTCACCCTCAGCCTTTCCCTAAGCGGGACGTAAAGAGACGGAATGAGCGGATGAGAAACGAGGCTAATGAGCTGTCAAACAGCGCTCTGTCGGTTCTGGTTCGCTTATGAGTCGACGCAGGCCATGTCTGTGAAAGCAAATATGGCCTAAAACGTGGCATCTTCAAAGAGAAGACGGGTCCAAAACACGTCCCAGCTGCAGAGGCTCTGAGAAAAGATCCAGAGTGCTGTTTTTCCTCCTCAGCAGTCAACAGTGGAAGGCTGTGTTCATATCTGTTTCTAGGGATAAAACCTCACCTCCTCCAGGCGGCGGATGTCCCAGGCGCGGAGCTCGCTGTCGGCCGACCCCGTCAGCAGCCTGTTGTCGCAGTCCAACAGAACCATTCCCCACACCTGAGAGGAAGTCCACACCGTTACGCTCACTCAGTGTTCAGGGATAACACAACAGAGCCTCACCAACTAGATCCAGCTAGGATCGGTTAACGGTAATTGTTAATTCATGCCTTCAATCAGACGCTTACATAAATTTCTTGAGTATTTTGGCTGCATTGCCTAGTTTGACCCATTTGGGTCCAAGCCTTTAGTTCAGCTCTGATGTCTTATGATGACATTCTTCCCCTATGATGCCGTCTGCTTTCTGTAGCAAACACAACGACGCTGCTAACCCCAAACTTCACACTAAGGACTGCGCTCAGACTTGCCAGTTTCTTCTTTCCGCCACTGAAATGATCGTTAAGGCTAAATTTAAGTTCAGTGTTTTGTGTGTGCATTTCCAAAACACATTCAGTTTTTCTGCCGTTTTTGTAGTGACGGCTTCTTCCTCTCAGAGCGGCTTTTCAGCCTATGTCTGTACACCAGCAATTTCACTGTGGATAATCTCTCACCAGCTTCCGCTAATATCTTCTCAATGTATTTTAGGGCCAATTTGCACATTTCATACCACGGCATGATGGCGTGACATTCACACGTTATTCATGCTTAAACTATAACTCAAGACGTGAACACTGGGATCTTCATGCATCTGGAAATTGTTACCAAAGACGATCCAGATTCCTCTTTCTGATATTTGAGCTGCTTTTTCCTTCGTACTTCTCTGATGTCACACAATGGAAGCAGTGCGTTTAAGTTGTTGCCGCCATTGAAGTTGAATATTGTGAATTAATCTACCAGAAGCTAGAAGCTTTGGCAAAATGTTTACTTCCTACTTCGAAGAAAGTAACAGAAAAACCTCTCTGGGAAAAATGAACCGTCGACTAATTTCTGTTAACACAAACTTTTCTTGTCTCTCTTGTACAACGCAAGTTATATTAATGTTACTATAAGGTGAAATTTTTAAGATTAAATAGTGGATGCAGTAGAAAAAGCGCTCACCTCGTTGCGATGGCCCACCAAGGTCTTAAAGCAGTGCTGCGTGTCCAGGTCCCACCACTTCACAAAGCTGTCCTTGGAGCTGGATGGCAGCACAGGACACACAGAAACACAGTTTGACAAATACCGGCGCACTTATTGTGACAAACTCCTTATAAGACTTTTGATTTTATCGATAGAAATTGATGCATTTCAGTCAACGACGCTTTAGAAACTACTGCAGGGAAAACCTGCTGAGCCCGTGGTCAGTCATCCAGCAGGCTGCTGTGTTTTTGAGTTAAAAAATGTTGAAAATTGACAGAAATTTGAAAATAATACAATAATTATTTGTAAATGTGTTATTGTAAGACATTAACAAAACCCAAACAGCAACTTTAAGATCTTAGAAAAAAACAAACACAAAAAAAGGGAGAATAAGATTTTTTTTTTCTATTCTTTTCTAAAGAATCAATTTCTTTCAATATGGATTCAATTATTGATAACTGTAATTCTAACTGGACAAAGTCAATAAGACTTTTATACGTTTACAGAACAAACTCCAACAGTTGTTTAAGCTCAGATTGACCAATGGAAGACGTTTTGTTCCACCCGCAGCAGCAGCAGGAGCAGCAGCAGGAGCTAATGGCCGTTACCTTGAGACCAGGAGGTTCTTGTCTTTAAGGAACAAGGCCTGCGTGATGACGTCCTTATGTCCCCTCAGCCGATACAGTCCACACTCGTTGATGATGTCCCACACGATCACATCTGTGTCCTGAAGAGGCAAACAGGAAGCAGAGAGAAACGCTGCAACCAATCAGCGAGAACCAGAATTCGACCTGGCAGTGCAATTAAACGGTTGCTGTGACTTGAGAAAGTCTTCTTGGACGTCTTCGCATGTCGTCATGTTACAGCCACAGACCTTCCTGCGTTTCATTAGGGCTTCGTGGGACAGACCAACACAAAGTGCCTGGGAAATGGAAGTGTAACGATTCTGCTCTGAAAGTCGACTTCTGTGAACAGCATATCTAACATATTACCAAAGAAGGCCACACAAATTAAATAACAAAGTTACTGTTGTTCAACTGCAACATGCATTAACATTAAGGTCCTTTTAATAGGCCTGAACTAAAAATATGTCCAACTTAACCTTCCTTATGTATCTTTCTTTTGCCTTTTCTCTCCCTCTACTTTGTACAGTGGCTCTCTTCACAGGCAGGCGGTGGCAGTATTGGTTTTCCAAAAGAGTAAATTTTGACATTTCATGAGATTTACATTCATTTCAAGCTGATTATGATTATTACAGAGACTTCATCATTCGTTTCATTTTCTGTTTCTGTTGTTTTGTTTATTTATTTAGGATATTACAAATGTCTTCCAGTTCCAGCGTTAAATGTTCAACGCAAATTTAATGTTTATTGATCTTTCAGAACGTTTCCTTGCATTATTACACCATCATATCACCTGAAAATGGTCTCAAACAGCAATATTATTTATCCCAAGAACTTTTGGGACAATTCATCGTCCAGCAACATTTGCTAATGTGACAGGCCTGAGCATACGTCTGCAAATCTAGGATGTATTTATACATATATGTTTATATATTATACGTTTTACATAGATTTAGCATAAATTAAAGAAGAAGAAACTTTGTTCTGAAGGTGTGCCGGCTTTTGTTTTTTGCCGTGACAGTGCAAAAAAAAAAAAAAAACAAAAAAAAAAAAAACCCAGAAAAACATGCAAACATCACTAGATCAAATAAAAACAGGTCACTGTAGCTCCGGGAACTCCGCCCAGTCTTTGTGATGACCCGTAAGGGTAAATTACCATGGAATTTGACAAAATGCGACTAAAAATGTCAAGTGTGTGACTCCTCTGCAGCCTTCTGGTGTTAATCGTGTCAACGTTACCTTGGAGCCGGTGACGAGTCGCGCCCCCAGAGCGTCGTAGTTCATCACCGTGACACCGGACTTGTGACCGTTGAAGGAAACATTGCTCTCCCCTCAGCAGGTTGAAGATCCGCACCATGCCGTCCTCGTAACCCACGGCGATGTGAACGCCGTCCGGAGACGGGCAGAGGAAGCTCACCTCGTGTTTCTGGCCCTGCAGGATCAGGACCTGGGCAAGAGAGACGGCAAATTCTGCCTGAGTCGGCTGCGGACAATTCGCCAAAGCCGAGCAAGCCACCGCCCTGAAGTCTCACCTTCTCTCCTTTTCGGACGTCCCAGACGAAGACATGTTCGCACGCGGCCACGGCAACGTAGCGGCCCTTCTCCCCGCCACGAAGCGTGACGTAGGCGATGTTGGCCCGCTGGCTGCTGCCGATGACGCCGAACACGGCGCTGGCGGCGTAGCGCAGGTACTGTTTGGTCAAACCCATGACCAGCAGCCGGAGGTGCTGGAACCTGCAGCACAGCAACACAGGAATCTTTATTTACTCACAGTCCAAAGACAACGACTCGATCAGATCAGCATGGCTTCCACTGGTGGGTAACATTGATGTTCTAACACATTAATGGGATCTGAACTAAAGCTAAGAAATACAACAAAAGAGCACTGTTCAATCCATTGTTCAAAAAAAATAAATAAAGGAACCTTATGGCAAAGATGGCCACCCCATTAAACTGACAGGACAATACAAAAACATGCCACACTATTCAGATAGTGCAACTTAAACAATGAAGTTTAGCTGATGGTGGCAACATGACGCTTTGCTGTGGGAAGGTTAGAAAACCTTCAAGGGGTCTGAATACTCACTGGAAGCAATTTTCTAAATTTCCTGGAAACATTTCAAATGTTTGTATTTTGCAATTACGGTGTCACTAACATGTTTTAGGAGCTCTATTGTGGCTTTTAATATAAATAACCCACAACATAAACGTTCAAACTCCCTAATGTAAAACACACGTGTTTTGCTTCACATGCTGAATCCTGTCCGTGGAAACTATTCCTCCACTGAGCGTCTCATGCTTTACAGTTCGGGCTTTTCCTGCTTTCACATATTTATTTTTTACGTACATTTCTGTACATGATTTCAGTCGCCATGGTAAAGGGGTGGGGGAGGCTTGTTTTGTTTCATGGGACACCGTACGTGTGGAGTTTGAGCTTTTCCTCGCTTAAAACAACCAAAGGCCCGTTAAACTCCGCTCACGCAAATTGCACAGAGTACTATGAATCGAGTGCACTCTTGCCGAGCCGCCTGCGCTTCTATACGCACGTGGCTGTGTTCAGTTTAAATGAGCTTATTATAGACTACAGAAACGTATAATTATGTATTTTGAAGCGTCAGACAACATTAATCTCTCGCTACAGTACTCTTTCGACGTGTCAGTCTGTGTTCTTACCTTTGAAATGTGGCGCAGAGCTGCTAACTTGTGTTTTCTTCCTCGACCCGCTGTGTCTGAGTCAGACCTGACGCATCGATCCCAGATCGATTTAAAAACCTCTTAATGATGATTTTAAGAACCACTCCTTTATTTTCCTGGTACAGTAATTACACACGAATAGTACAGTACATGATGACATATGATTCTAGACATACTTTGATGCAGAAATGGCCGTATTCGTGTTTACTTTTATGGTTGTCGATTACGCTCAATCTGTTGCTTTTGCCTGCGACACCAGGACAAACTTCATGACGTTACCGTTGTGAGAAAAGAAAGGAAATATTTATCGCATGCTAGTTTTTGAGGACATGTTTTATTTGTGAGTAGTTCTTGGCTTGGATTCGCAGCTATGCTGTGCAGAAGTTTCCCAACAAGTTCCAGTACAACTACAACGGAAGTGCTTGTGTGTACCAGTCAGCTGATTCACAAAGACGAACAAACGAGTCAAACACACGACAAATAATGCAATCTGTACCGGAAAAGTGTTGGTAATGTGAACAAAATAAAACAGCGTTGATCAGCTATCAATTTGTCACAAAATTCATGTCAATCCACACCCTGTCTGCAATTTCCTATTAATCTCTGTTGCCCTACGTGTCATCTTCTCCCGTTCCTTAATCCAATTTATATGTTTCTTTCCTGAGGTACCTGGGGAAAAAAATCTAACAGAAATCTTTTGCTGCATACTGCATACTTCTTTCTTCATATTTATCTGCTTGGTAATATCTCCAGATATGAAGAGTCATAATTCAAGAATGAATTATGACCCAAATGCTTTTAAGGGACAAGTTAAAGAAATTCAGCTGACACACTGAAAAGTTTTTTTTAATTAAGCCGAATGCAGTTAAAAGTAGCAAATTAAATGTTATAAATGACATTTCTGTAGAAATTACATGTTACAATAATTTAGCAGTATAAGAAATAGCTTTTATTACAAAAATAACATTATCTTTTTCTGCTTCCCCACAACCCTTGATTTTCCATATATTTTCCATACAGAAAATATATTTGTTGAAAATGCATTTCAACATAAATTTATTTTCCGTCTATATTTTTTAAATATATAGACGGAAAATACATTTATAATGACAAATTTCACAGGGGAAATTTTAAAAAAATGGCTGAAAAACAAAAATGAAAACAAACTCACTGATTCTAATTTGCTATTTGACCACTTTTAGTTTGAAATTCCCCAATCGGATGTTTTGGTACGCTGCGGCTTCGACGTACGTCGTTGCGTCATTGTGCTACTGACATGTTTGCTAACTGAGTGGACCATGGTGATGGGGACTTTATAGCTCAGTTTCTCTTGCTGTTGGAGTCAATTTCTTGAATAAAATGACGACTCAACGTAAAAACAATCCCGCCTGAGCTTTGAAGGTATTGGTTCAATATTTCTACGTGTTCTTATTTTAAATAGTTCTTTATCGTGGACGCGGTTGGTAGGTGTTTTGCTGATTCAGCTGGACAGCAATGCTAAATGTTTCAGAAATACTGCTCTTCATCTCTTAACAATTAGGTGTAAACTACAGCATTTTGAGACAGTTATTTAATTCATAATTTTTTTACTAATAGAGATAATTTCTGATTGGTTTATTTATTTCGAGGCCTGCTCTCTCAAAAATGAATTACAGAAAATGGACCTATAATCTTGTAGAAATTTAAGTATAAATTACTCGTCCAGTTTTTCTCCATTCTTCTTCGCATCATAACAGCTCAATCTCCGTCAGGCTGAAGGAAAAGCTTCTTTCAAATCCGTTTTCAGATCCTCAGTTGGGTCTGTGGTCTGTGATCGATGCCATCATACATCAGCTCTGTTTAGGTTGTTTTTCTGATTAAAAAAAAGAAAAAATGTGAACCTCCACCGCTGACACAAATCATCTGTGAACTGTCAAGTGAGACTAATCAACCCAGCAGCAAATGTTTTTGTTCTGTGGGAGGAAGCCGGAGTACCCAGAGAGAAATCAGGCGTGCACAGGGTGAAGCCACACCCACAGCATGACTATTTTTTGTTGTCTTATAATAATCGGACTTGACAGAAACTGAAAATAGTTCCTGATTTCCCAGCAACAAAATGTGCATCTTTCTCCTCCCTCCATTGTTTACGTTTCTGATCAGCTCATGAATGTAGAAATGGCAGTCACTCCCCATGACGGGCAGAGGAAGTAAAATTACTAAAGAAAATAGTAATGTTCAGGGATTTGGACTTTTATCTGATTACTGGATTTGTAATAGTAAGGTGTTAGATTACTCGTTACTGAAAGAAGTGGTCAGATAAGACAAAATGAGGAGGTGGCACAGATGTGTACATGTAGAATTATTTTGAATACAATTGCTCCTTTGTTTCATGCTTCACTGCAACAAAAGGGTGAAGATCTTTGTTTTTTGTAAAGTAAGGATTACCTGCTGGAAGGAAATTATTTTTGTTGTTACAAAGACATTCAAAAGTTGTTGTTTGTTTTCTGAAATCCTATTTATAGTTTTCCAGACAATAGAAACACGAAATCATGCACAAATTACTACATATATATTTTTTTGTACTGTTATAACCATAAAACAATCTCACCTTCAGTTCAATGTGGAGACACATTGTTGATGTAATCATTATAAAACAGCTTACAATGAAGTCTTGGGAAAGATCAAGGTGATGTTCAAAGGTGGCGGAGCGTTGTTGTTGTTAACAGCTGCTGAAAGTAACTAAAAACGTTTCTTTTAATGTAACTTTGTTACTTTTCAAATCAAATAATCAGTAAACAAAGTTACTTTTTCGAGGAGTAATCAGTTACTTGAGAAAGTTACTTTCTCAAAGTAACTTTGCCATCACTGGTCTTAACACAGCAGATCACATTCTTCCAATTGCTTCAAGCTTCTCTTTTATCACTTTAATTTAGGGACTTTGATGTTAAACAAAACAGACATGTGGTTCATAAGTCACTGAGCGGCCTGGTTTGCGCTTTTGTGACGGCTCCGTGTGCTTTGCAGCTCCTGTGAGACGCCGTGCAAGCTTCTAGCGGCGGTCGGTGGGATGGATCCTCTGGGGGCTCGCTCCCAGTTTGTGGATATCCAGTCCCTTCCGGTGTGGCAACAGCAGCTGAGTGAGGAAGCCAAGGAGACGCCGCTGGACCAGGGGGACGGCCCGCTGGACCACGAGGCCTTTCCCTCGCCCTTCCCGTTCAGACCGGACATCAACCGCAAGATCATCCTCTTGTGAGTCACTCGTGCGTTTCGTCACGCTCTAACTGCAGAGTGCAAAAATACAGGAAAATGTTTTTTTCTTTTGATTTTTGATATAAACTGTTGTGTTTTCCAGCCTCAGTTTAGATCGTTCCTGCTTCCATTTCTGAATCTGTTTACAGAGTAAAGTAAAATATTTCTCCCCATGAACTTTTTCACCAGAGGCACAGAAAGAAACTGATTCTATAGAGAATCACATTTCCATCTAACGGGAATTCTTAATTTACTCAAAGTACTCAAAAATCGATTTTTGTCTGCCTAATTTTTTGCAAAATTATGTTTTGAATTATTCTTTGCTAGTTTATTATTATTATTATTAGTTAAGAAAAAGAGACAACTAAGGTTAACCTCATACTGATAATTTAAGTTACTGATGGAATTCGATACACCATGGAGCTTTATAAAATTGTTTAAAATTAATGTTCTGTTTGTTTACATCGTCTTTGCCTCTGGTCAGTTAAAGACAAGAGGAAAAGCAACAGGACCTCTAGACTTTTGGAAAAGAAAAATTGGTTTCTGAACTAAAAGTTGTTTCTGGATCAAACATTGTTGTAATTGAATCGCAACCCTAAATATCCTAATGGAATCAATCGAATAGGAGATTTGATTCAATTTCTATTTTTCACATTTTGTCATATTATGCAGTCAATTATTTATTTATTTTTTGAATGAATTTATTGGTATTGTAGAAGAAAGGGAAACATAAAGGCAGACATCAGTGTGAGATGTAAGAAAATGGAAGTGTAGATTTCAAATGAATTAGCAATAAAATGTACAGAGTTTTCTAGTTGTTTCTTTGATGAGAAGTTGTAAGAAGATATTTCAACCCGACGCTCCACAGTTGTTGTCATTGGCCTGAATAATCTTTGGGACCAACACCGTTATCAGTCATGTGAGCACTTTTAGACATGATTGGGCCTTTTTTTCACTGATGTTAGTGTTTAACTATTTCAATCCAGGCCGTTGTGATCGGACACAATGAGGCAGAAATCGATAGACATGTTTTTAACAGATTGAATCTGCTGAACCACACTGCAAACGCAATTGACAGAAGAATCTGTATTGTAACCATGTCGCTGGTAACTCCTGCAGTTCTCTGTGACTTGATGAATATAAAAACTGGACCAAACTGTTTTTGTACCATGTGCCTCGCGGATGTTTCGAAGTCAGTTCCCAGTTTTAAATCTTTGACAGGAAGACGCAAAGTTACGCAATCATTTGTAGCACTGCTCCAAAAAATGTTTTAGTCTTCCTGCCATGAGCGGTCACAAGGCTGATGTCGCACGGAGAGAGAGGGATCACTATGAACACGACTTCCTATTTTAAAAGCAAAGACAAGGTGGAAACAGACAGGGCCTAGTGACATGGACATTAACATTTTTTAATTGTGATAAAAGTGATAATGAACTGCTTACAACTTCTTTTTCAGTCCTGTTTAGGTGACAGTGTGGCTGCAGCTGCACGTCACAGCAAATGTAGCCCTATAAACAGAAATAGTCTTAAAAGACAAAACAGTTAAAAATATTTATTCACATAAGGAACTGATATTATTTTCACTAAATCTGCAATATTGTATAAAATAAGTTTAAGTGGTTAAATAAAAAAAAATCTGCAGATTGTGACATTTTTTTGACTTGATTAATCATCATAATAATCAGTATTATGCTCGATTACTAAAATATTCATTAGCTGCTGTCATTTATGTTATATTCCACGCAACGCGACCGATCTACAGACTGATCTGAGCGCACATGTCTACGTGAGGGAGCGATAATGTGAGGCGTGTGCTTTTAAAGCTCTCGCTCAACGTGGGGACGTGTGCTCGGCTCCGTTTGGGGAAACAACTCTGCTGCTCTGAGCAAGCCGGGTTCTGGCCAAAATGTAAGATGAAGTCAGACAGACCACTGGGACGGTCGTCAGCAAGGAGAAACGGGAGATTAATCTTTTCCTCAAGTTAAAAAAAAAAGGAAGAAGAAATTTATAAGGGGGCAAACATTTTTCCACACTCCTGCAGTTTGAGGCAGCCATTTCACCAATGCTAACTTGATTTGATTACGTGTTTTTTGAGAAGTGGAAAGTACCTCTCCACTTTTCACACGGACCGGTTTAGAATCAATGGACACCTTTAAAGACTTTTAAGGACGGCCGCATCATGTCCCCGGGGCCTGACTGATTGTCTGCCTGTTGCAGCAGCTTCTCTGAAGGAGCCTTGTTGTTGCAGCGGCCCCCACCAGGAGGAGGCACATTCCTGCGCCAGTAACATGACTAGAACTCAGCAACCAGCGGCCCGCGAGCGGTGGCACCTTTTAGCTTGTGACCGTTCAAAACGAGCCGATGTGTCGCGGCTCTTTGTGAGGTCAACGGGACGGATTCCTTCTGCTGCTCACGCCAAGTGTTTAGAGAACACAGGGGCCAGAGTGTGATTAGAAAACTGCAACATTTACGCTTCATCTCCACTGCTGCATTTGCAGGATCTGTCAGCTCAATAGGTTTTCTCTATATGTTTGGCCCTGATTTACAAAGGAAATAGTAAAATGAGAAATAGTCTGCCTGATAAACTGTGTAGATGATTGAATGCGATGTCATCAGTGATGACATTTGGCCTGTATGACACTGAAGTTTTTGGGGTGTTTTCTCTCTTTGGAGCTTTTTACTGCTCAGAGTCGACCTCTTTCCTAATTCACTCCATCTATTTTGACCCTTTCTGCTTTAATTTCCTTTTGTATCAGTTGACTCAGTTCTGGAAGGTCAAGTCGAAGGTCCGAATATCATGATAATTTTATGTGACCTGTTCTTTTTCTGGTATGTCATGTTTACGCCACATTCTACTGAAATGTGCTTTAAACAAACAAACAAAAAAAGAATCGGTTGCACAGGTTTGAATATTTATTTTTCTCAAATCTGGCTCAAAATTTCCCAACTCTGCGATCAATAAAGTAAATCTTATCTTAAATGACAGGTTCGATATACACAGACAGCTCTATTAGCATTTGTTGAGGTTTCCCTCAGTAAGTTGCAGAGAACTTAAAATAAAAGTGACATTTCAGGCTGGATGTTTGGCTCTTGTTGCAAACAGCGAAGCCGTATGAGTGTTTCCTGCTTTGATCTAACCTGAAGCGAAGTCCATTAATTAGAGGCAGGAATGCGGTGGAAGCCAGTTTAGTGTTGTAAATCCTGCTTCCTTGTCCTGATCAGGTACTCAGTTGTGTCCAAGTTTCCACTATCTGTTGATGTAAATTTTGCAGGTAGGCCTTCTTCATGGTTCCTCAGTCTCTACTGTGTCTATTTTTAAAATGTGTCTCTCTAGAAAGCATTTCTACTTGCCTTCGGGAGCAGCAGTGAATATCTTCTGTGCTCTAAGGTATATGTCAAAGGTCAGCGGCCCCCACCAGGAGGAGGTTTGCTTAAATCCAATTTGAATGCAGGAGGTATTTAATAATTACACACTCAAAGGTGTGTAATTATTAAATCAGAACCATTGGCCATTAAATCCATTTAGTAAACCCCGTGCAAACTTGTTTTTTCCCCCTCTGCAATAATTTTTCATCCTTTCTTTACACGCATGAGGAGAGGTTTAATAATCCTTTTAGTCAGGATGGACCAAAGGATTAGGCTGACCAAAGGAAGTCTAAACGACTGCTTTGTTGTTCTTTTCTCTGCGACAGCCCCGGGGACGTTGCCCTGCTGAACTGCACTGCCATTGTGAACACCAGCAACGAGTCGCTGAACGACAAGAATCCAGTGTCGGACAGCATCCATCAGCTCGCCGGGCCTGAACTGAGGGAAGAGCTTGTGAAACTCAAAGGTAGAGCAAAAGGGAAGAGCAACAGAGAGGATAAAAGTAAATCACGAGGCAAAAGTTTCATATGGAGATTTGTGCCTGTAGAGGCCAAGAGAGCTTATTTTAGTCATGTTAAGGTTTTATATGATAGACCAACACAAAATAGATGCACCGATCTGATACTAATATTGTTATCAATCCCGATATTGAAAATAATTCCAGATTGGGTATCGTTGAGAATGTGACCAATCTATTCAGTCTAATGCTATGCTCTGCGCGACGGCAGGCTTATTTATTTTACATGGGCTCTTATGCTCCTAATTGACTGAGCAGATTAAAGTTGTGTTATTTTTACATGTTCCACCAGGCTTGTGAAGCTATTGGTGTATTTAAATGAGCTGAACTGGTGCAGAGTTATCAAACAGTAAGAATAATTCACTACATTTATTTCTGTGTTTTTAAAAAAAGAAATGTCTTGAGTCAATTTAGCACTGTTTCCCTGTATCGGATCGTCATCAGCCAATACCAGACCTCAGATATCGGTGTCGGTATCAGAAGTGAGAGCAGTGAACCCCTGTATCTTTGTGAAGCAGAAGTTCCACCTGGTGTGTTTTGTGTGCAGGATGTCGGACTGGCGAGGCCAAGCTGACCAAAGGCTTCAACCTGGCGGCCCGGTTCATCATCCATACTGTGGGACCGAAGTACAAAGCCAAATACAGGACTGCAGCGGAGAGCTCTCTGTTCAGCTGCTACAGGAACGTCATGCAGCTGGCAGCGTAAGACCCAACAGTTCAATCGGCCACTCGCTCCGTCTGATCCGGGCCAGCTTCTTCACACACTCTCTGGTTCCATCTGGCCGGGAAACAACCCTGAATGATGTCCTGTCCTTCACTTTTGTTAAACATTTCTTTTCCTCACAGATGTGACCTGGTGCAATAAACATACTTGCTTTTTTTTAAAGAAAGCAAATCTAATTCTTCCAGAAACAATACAATGAAAGTTTTGGCTCATTAATCAAATCTCCAGCTGTTTTGGCTTTTGAAGTCAAAGTGAAGAAATTTAGAAAGTTTAGAAATTAGAAAGTGAAAAGCTACTCAGACGTTCCCTCTTTTCGGAAAACAACCTTTTAAATTTAGCTAGTTTTAAAATGCCTTTATGTTTCACTAAATAAGAATCTTAGGCCTTCTTCACATGTAGCTGGAACTTTATAAAAGTGAATATGTCTGCCACATAGTTTGAAAAGGTATCGCCATACACACTGGATTAGTTTTCATCCACACAAACCCACTGAATGACACCACTGAGCGTTGTTTTAAACATGCCAAACCCACAGGGGGCGGTGTAGTGCAGAGCTAAAATCTGTGCCAGTCGATGACAATCCTCCAAAACAACCACAACTTCCTGTTAGGATTTAAACATGGCGCCAGGAGATTCATTTGTGTGGTCAGACAGAGAGGTTAAACTAAATTTTATTTTTATAAATATGAGTAAAACTCAAGATGGTGTTGATTTGGATGCCATCGATTGGGATATATGGAGGTTGAGCAGCAGTTTGCCTTCATGTTGGGCCTGTAAAAACAGGCAAAAAGCATCTGAATGTCATGCATTTACCTCTGAATCTGCAGTTTCCAGTGTCCACACACAAATGCAAATAAGGAGGATTCTCAAATTTCCACTTCAGTTTTCATGAGCAATCGTTTTAATGACGGTAGAGTTTACATGTGGATGAAAAACTATTCTGGTTCCCAGAAATCTGGCTATGTGTAGACTAAGTCCCAAGTCTAACCACGCTGTATTTCCAAACTTTTCCCACCTTTTTACATATCACTATCTTGATTTAAACATTTCCCTGAGGTTTGATTGTCATTAGATTTTTTTTTTTTTATGCAAACAAACCCGTGAGAATGTTTTTGTTTTTTTTCTCCTGTCCCTCGCAGAGAACAGTCGATGGTGTCTGTCGGTTTCTGCGTGCTGACCACCACCAAAAGAGGCTATCCACTGGAAGACGCTGCACACATCGCTTTCAGTAAGACCCGTCTATTCAGACTTTGAGGGAAACGCTGACTCTTCTCTTCTTTTACTCTCTGCTAGCGTAGCCGTGTGGCTTAAAAGACATATTGCGGCAGAGGAGATGGACAGTAAGAGAGTTTAAGAGGAACCACACCCAAGAACGACAACCACTCCCTGCCGATACATTCCACATCGGATTGAGTGGATCGGTGACAAGTTCCTGTATTAGTTCTGTCATGGAAAGAAGTGATGTGACTTTGAGCTCAGTGAAAGCAAAGAAAACAGTTGGGTGCTAAAAGCTAACAGGCTAGTCAACGCCACAATGAATGTGGCTATCTAAATCAGCTCAGACTGAAAATGTTCCCATCAGTGAAACACTGTCAGTGTAAAGTTAACAGTGTTTTCATCAACCGTTTTTATGTGCATTTTGAAGTATTGCATTAAAAAAGGTTGATTTTAAAATGCCAAAATTCAAAATGTCTTCCTCAATTTCTAAACAAAATGTTTTTAACGCTAACTTGAGGTGGTTTTTGGCTTTTCTGAGAAAAATTTGATTCGCTTAATTGGAGATGGAAACACATTTGCCAAATGACCAAACGCTCTCTTCCACTGGTGAGTCTCTGCCTTGCCAGGGGCACAAAACTCAGAGATATGTGCTCCGTGCAACTGCTACCGTTATTACCACCATGCACGACGTCTACATTTGACAAAATTACGCTTCGTGCAGCCCGGTTGATTCGCTCCAAACCAGTAGACGGAAATGCACCTTTTTGGGGGGTTTTTTGGCTCAAAATTCTCATGAGAATCAGATGGGAACTAGTTAGCAGTCTAGTTTCAACCGAACAACATCTGTTCCTAATACTGCCACCTTGTTGGCATTATTAATCTGCCTAAACAAGAATGGCAGAAACTTTTAGATTTTGAATCAGACTTTTGGACCGAATCCAAAAAACATATCGGCATGTAACACAGTTTCCCTCAAAGTCTCTCTCTAGTTGGGTTTTTTTGCAATTCTTCTTGGCGTTGCTTGGTGTAACTTCTAGGTATATTTGCCCATACATCTATTACAAAGTGACAGTGTCATTTTAAAACACCTATGTGAACAATTATCAACGTGACCGGTGTTTTAATAATGGTGACCCAAGCTACAGCAAATGTTACGTTTTCGTGTGGCGTGTCGATCTCATTGGTACGTCCAGTAACAACAGTGTTCGTTTGGTTTGCTGTGTTTACAGGAACAGTGCGCCGGTTCCTGGAGAACCATGGCAACAGCATCGACTCGGTGGTGTTCGCAGTGTCAGACACAGAGGAGGTCTGTATGACACCGATACATACTGACGCTACAGAATTATTCACAAACACTAGAAGACAATACATTCAAGCAAAATCTGTGTCAGAAATTGTGTTTGGTCTACGTTTAAATGTTCAGACACTGTGTCAGCGTGTCAGAGTGACTCAGTAAATGATTGCTCATTGTTTTTGTTTTGGTTGAGACATTGCTGCTGCTGTTTTTTTGTTTTTTTAATTTGGACAATTATTCCTTCCATTTTTGGATGCTGTGCAGATGGTGTTGTAACGATGCGTCTCCCTGCCAACAAGGTGTTTTTACAGCAAATTAGCACATCAAAAGCTGAAATAGTACCTGAACTTTGACCCCAAGTCCAGGTAGAGTTGAAAAAGGAAGCTTCACGGAGAAAGTTTAAACCATCTCTTCCACTGATATTATCCTCAACTCCAACATTTCTCTCAACATCTGTTTGGTTTTTTAACCACACAGCCAGAGAGGAGCGGCAAAAGCAAATGAGGTGGATTAGCACTCACAACTTTGTTTTGTGCAGTTTTCTACTACATACTACTGTGTGATATTGTTTGGAAATTGAGCAGTTTGCAGTTCTTAATAGTCTTCAGTCAGAAGCCGCTTCAGACTTGATGTGAGACTGACTGCTACTGGATCTCCTTCCAGTTCACGGCGTCACCATCTGCGTTAAAACTCTGAAAATACTTGGATTATAAGAGTTACAACAGTATTTAATTTCCCTTTTGGGATCAATCAAGTATTTTTGAATTGAATTGAAGCAGTGCGTTAGAATCATCTTTTTTTCTAAAGGGGGTGAATAACGTTCAGCGGTTCTCTCTAAATGTCTGTAAATACCCCAAAAAACAAAACAAAAAACACTGAGATGGATGTGTGTGTGTGTTTAGTCTGCGTACAAGAAGCTTCTCCCGCTGTACTACCCTCGCTCCGAGGAAGAGGAGCGGCGCTGCCTTCCTTTCATCCCGGCTGACATTGGCAACTCGGAGGGCGAGCCCGTGGTCCCAGAGAGACAGATCCGCATCGCAGAGAAGCCAGGCAGCCTGGAAGGTACGTTCTCCCATCATTGGAGCAGAACAATCCGTTTGCCAAGGGTGGAAAAAAAAAAAAAAACGTCATTATTTCTCAGATGTTCGGTATCAAGTTTGGGGAAACGGAATCAGATCAAACATTCGTTCCTTTTGGCTAAGAAGTCAGCAAAACAAGCAGACTCATGCACAATTTGGTATTTTTTCACTTCCCGTCTTCCCTCTCAAGAGAAACATGATTTTTTCAAAAAATATTACAGATGTAGGCTTTTTTTATTTCGGGTTTAAAAACAAAAAAAACCCCAGAAATTAGTGACACAACAGCAACAGCTCATAGGTTAGAAATGTTCCTTTCTCAGGATGAAGTGTGGAAGCAATTCGATGTGTCAGTCAGACGGTGGAAACAAATCTACACAGATGGAACCAAATCTCCTGTTTCCTGCATGGAGCCGAGTGAGCAGAAGTGAAGTGAGGACAGAGTTCATCGAAAACCGTAATTATCAGTCTAGCTTTGGAAACCTGCATTTATGAAACTTTGAGGTTGAATATCCAGATCACTTGTGACTTTGGACTTTTTTTATTTTTATTTTTTGGCTAAAAAAACAAAATGTAGTCCAGTTCTTTTGGGCTCATCATCTTGTTCTCATAATCTCCTGAAGATAAAGTTCTGAGAAAAAGAACTCGGTTCTAAAATGTCTTTAATGACGGTTTAGCAGATAAGTGGAGATTATCTGAAAACAAGAAGCACATAACAGAGATATCTGAAAATAAAACCAATCAAATGTTTTTAGATACTCTATTTTTTTTAAAAAAGTTCAACAAAAAGATCGAGAGATTCACTGATGGGGCTTTGGAAGCGTTTTCTGTTTTCTTTGAGTAACAAGCTGCTAGTTCTGGATTAATTTCAACTTTTTTCTTACTGCGCACAGAAGAATAAACCTGCCGCAGATTTTGGGTAGGTTAATGGTTTTGAATCCAATAAGAACCAAAATAATCACAAGATTATATTCATGCATGAAAGCTTATGACTCTAACCTCTATCTGGTTTTTATTAAAAAAAAAAAAGTCTGTGTTGGGATTATGGGTTTCTCCACGTAAAATTGTGGAGGTTCTCAGTTTTAATGCATTTAGTGATTGGAGAAAAATTATCAGATTATTCTGCATTTGAGCGGCAAATCACTGATCAAAAGCGATCAAGATAAAACGGGCTGAATATTCTTTTCATTTCCTTCGGGATCAATAAGGTACTTTTGAATTTGAGTCTCTAACATTGTCCTCCACTCACACAATTAACAGAATTTTATTGTTATTAGTAAAACATAATAAAAGTTTTCTTTCTGAAAATCTGGATTTTGAAGATATTAAAGTAAGGGGAAAAAAAGTGGATCAAAGGTCCCAGGGCGCCTGTGGTCACAAAAAAATACATGTCACAATTCTTGATTTTTCTATCTGTAAAACTATGCCAACATGAAAAAAATAAGATGAAAATATAAACTGTAGCGTCCAGGAATGTGGTGGGTTACAAATTTAATTTAATTTAATCGCTAAACATTTCTGATGCTGCTAGCATCTTTGTTTAGTGACAAATTGAATCCCACTGTTGAGCATTATTATTTACAAATAGAAAGGTGGAATATGACTCGTTTGTTTTTATGTAATCTGACTGGAGTCGATGTTGCTGGTTTGACTTGAGGGAGAGCAGAGCAGGTTTCTTTATGAGAGCAGCGTTTGAGCACCGCAGCATCACAGTGAAATGAAACCCTGCTCCTACTGAAGCATTCATTTTCGAGGTATCTCGAAGGAATCGATCCCTCGTTATCCAGGAAAAGCGCATATGCAGCTGTTTGCTCCTGACAGAAACGAGTCAAAGAAGCACAAAATATCAGCCGAGCCCGCTCCGCCCAAAGCTCCATGTGCTCAGCAACCTGCGTGACCTCTGGAGCTGCATGCGCTCTAATTGTTAGGTTTCTGGGAGCTGGACTGTGAAAGCCAAAGCCATTGTGTCAGTCAGTGAGGTAGAGCGTTTTCCAACTTGAGTCTGTTGTCTCCATTGACCTGAGCCGTGATGTCTTCTGGCGCAGAGCTTCAAAGTTGGGAGATGTGGCTTCAGACGGTGGATCCAAAGTAAGCAGGCTTGCTGCAGAGGAAGCCCAACAACAGCCTCTCACACACACACACGAACACACACACACACATGGCTTTGTCAGCGCTGATCAAATGTCACCATTGCATGTGGTTGAGGAGGGATTGAAGCGGTGCCTGGATGCGGTCTTGACTCTGATGGCACACAAATAATGTCATATGCATCTGTGTCTGTGTACTGCAATAAATGAGAACAAGCAAATATTCTGACACGAGTGAGGTAAGCAGGTTTGTGTTTTTGAAATGCACAGAAAACAGACTGCAGGTAGGAAGGGGTTTCGTTTCTGTGAGGAGCCTCATTTAGGTCCAACACAGGATCCGCACATTCTTAAAAGACTTAAATAAAGTAAGAGCTTAAAATGTCTTAATTTTTTTTTTTTGAAGTAAGATGGGTTAACCACAGGTCTTAGATTTAATTCTGTATGTTCTGTGCATTTTTCTTTTTTCCTCATGTGAGTTTTCTGTCCGGCAAACTTTGAATCGCACTCAGTATGACTCGAGATGATTGAGGCTACTGCTAACTCACTGCTAACATACCCTCGCTAGCTAGCTCGCACATTTACCAGCAGTTGGCTGGACAATGTTTGTACATTTCTATGAAAATATAGGTCTTAAATTACATTCATAATGGTTCTTAAAAAGTCTTAAATCCATTTATCTAAAATTAAGGCCTTAAAATGTACTAAATTCTCTTTTTTTTTCAAAGTAAGTTGAATTTTGTCTTTATATGACAAAATTCAACTGGTATATTCAATATTTATTTATTGTCATGTGTCTTTTCTCTCTGGCAAAAATGTGCGGTTGATGCTACTGCTAACTCGCCGCTAACATACCCTTGCTAGCCAGCTAGCAAATTTATCGGCAGTTGTCTGGACAAAGTTTGTTAGTTTCTGTGGAGATGCGGGTCTTAAATGGCTGTTAAGTCTTGAATTTTAGTTGGTGAAACCTGCAGAAACCCTGTATGATCTTTTTCTGTCCAGATGAGCGTGAAGAGGAGAGCCTGGAGCTGGATTTGGGTCAGGTGGGGAATCACGCCTTCGCTCGGATGGAGGGCGACGTGGACAAGCAGAGGAAGCAGATCCTCCAGGGCCAGATGTCTGAAGCAGCCGTACAGAAGCAGCACCAGAGAAAGTAAGAGTCCCAGCAAAGGAAATATTTGCTGAAAAGCATGTCTCCAGCTAAATATATCCCAGATTATTCATATTTCTTTGAAAAACTATAAATACCAATTTTCACCACAGTCTGGCCCGTTTTCTTGCCTTGACAGCTGATTAATCATTAGCATTACAATCAGAGGTGATGTCACACTGTGTGTGTAAGAAAGCATTTACTGTGAAACAGGTTGTTACTAATTTAAAACAGAGATTCAAACTCTTGTGTTAGCTTGGTTAGCATTACTCTCTCTGTTCTCTTGAAATGCCACTCATGTCTTAATTGTGAGATTTCCAATTTCTGCTAATTCAGACAGAGGTTGGAAATGCAAAAGAGTAAATTGGATAACTTTGCTGTAATTTACACTGGTGGTTTTCTAAGCTTTCCTCGCAGTCACTTTGCGTCTCCGGCACTCTGACAGACTGGACCAAGTGGAAGAACGGCCGACACCAACAGGCTTCCTACTGTAGCAGCAAACAGTTTTCTTTAAAATATCTCCTTACTTGTCTGTAGTTCCTCTGACTTGTAAATACCTTGCAGATATCCTCCCACATTACCAACCTCTGCACTGAAGACTGTTATTGATGTTTGTGACGCGGAAAAAGGCATTTCTGTTGCAGTTTGTGAAACACACACATTTTGGTACGGTTGAAAACTCTCAAAAACCTTTTCTGAAAAAAAGAGTTCTTTCGAAACTTCCATGAAGCAAATATGTGTTTGTGATTCCAATTCTGTGGTTAATGGGAATACGGCTATTAATGCACCAATCAGAAGAATCTTGAAGATTGGTTAAATACCAAGTAAAGCCGCTGATACTCAAAAATAAATTCGCACAAACAAACAGCTTGTTCTTTAAGGTACTGCAATAATATCAAGGATCTACGCTTACAGAGAAGATCATCTTTATTTCTTGGCAAGTGTTTTGTGATATTTGATTGTTGAAATAAAACTAGGTTTATACTAAATTAGCATGCTTTAATACCCTTGTGAAGAAATTGGAAAACAGAAAACTGGAAAATTGGCCTCAACAAAAAAACAAAGAAAAAGAAGCGATTGGTGCATTTCTCTACACATCTATACTTGTATTTCTTGCTACCATTACTTCAGTTAGTGCAAAAGCAGGTGTAGAAAATAAAGAACGCCTCAGGAGGAATCCCAGATGGATTTTGAGAGTTTTTGGTGTAACTCAGAACCACCAAACTGAAGGACCTGCCGCCTGGAGAGCTTTGATTTCCTCCAAACCGCAGCAGAGATGATTTGAAGCCGTCCAGCATCAGTCACCACTTCAAAGAGAACCTCAGTTTTACCAGAAGTTGCAGGAGGTTTTATGTTTCTGTGCAAGTGCTAGTTGCGTTACATCCACTGTGTATCAAAAAGCAACCTTTTCTCTTTCTTTTTTGTTTCCGTCTGTGTGTGTTTGGGTCCTGCAGCTACAGTCGCTGGCTGTGTCGAGCGAGAGCGGAGGATCTGTCAGACATCGCTGCGCTGAAAGCCTTATATCAGACCGGTAGGTGGGAGAGGCTGCCAAAATATCTACTGTGCAACCTCCTTCGGGAGCCAATAGTAATTTCATGTTCTGTATTTGAAGACTATTGAAAGTGTTTTCACGTTACAACTTCAAACCTCCCAAATTTCATGTTGTAGACCAACACACAGATGCAAAGCTTCTTGATTTGATGGGTGCTTCATCTTGGATTTTAACATTCCCACACATCTAGAAACGTTCAAATGTTTTTCTTCATGCTCTTTCCATAAACAGCTTTACAGGTTGAGCTGTTCAACAGGTTCTTAAACTGGGGTCTAAAATGCCAAACAAGCTCTCAGATTGCTACTTTTTTAGGAGAGATTCACACAAAACACCTTCAGACGTTTTCAAGCTGAGAGGAGAATCCCATTTGGTGTGGATCCCTGAAAATTTGATTGGGGAAAAATTCAAGAGTTCTGGATTGTAAAACACACGATTGAAGCTAAAACGTCTCATAATTGTGTGACTTAATGGTAGCGGGACGATAACAGGTAGATGATTATGATGAACGATAATATTGTTGCTTTGAGACCATTTTTAAATCATATATGGTATAATAATGAAAGGCGAGTAAACTTTCATTTCGTACAGAACATACAGCTGGGAGATATTTTACATGTCCAAAATAAAACACAACAACAATAAAAAGGAAAAAGAAGCAACTTGTAACCAAAACCATACGTAAAGTGTATTATGGAATCTCTGTAAATGGAATGACAGAGCATTATGTCCAATAACAAGAACGGAAATTATTAATCAGTTAATGAATTGCTTATTATAGCAGACATAAGTAGGACCTGACAGTTCTCCCTGAATATTATGTTCAAATGGAAAGTTGTCAAAAATACTGGATGAGGATCTAGAGATGTAAGTCAATAGAAATATTGAATTTAGTTATGTAAAACATAGGAACCCCGAAGACATAATCCAACATGATCTTCTGCTTAAATTAAAATCATCTTGTTTGCCGTTTTTGTTGAATGGAAAGAATCAGAGCAACGAATCCAGACAAAACCTGCAGTCAGTTACTAAAGCGTCTTCCCTCTGCATGCTGTCAGTGAGTGGAGCGGTGCGTCAGAAACCAGCGTGTGTGTTGAGTGTGTGTTGTGGCCCAGAGCCTCTAATGTGGGTTTGCTAGAGATCAACCGGGTTTGTTTGTTTCTTCAGCTGTCAGGTGCAGCTGCTGTTCGTCACCAGGAGGGGGCAGTGTTGTTGTTGTTGTTGTTGTTGTTGTTGTACAGTCCTGCATCTGGTTGTAGGATGTCCTTTTCGACGTGACACCTTTATTTACTGATTATTTTTAAACGAGGAAACGTTTAGAATAAATATTTAATGGTTATAGCAGAAGCTGAATTTCTTTCCCTTTTCACAAGTTGCATTTCTATTATATTACATTTCAAAAGGTGGAAGTCCAGCTAGATGGAAACAAAACGATTGGAGGCATGTTGCTTCGTCACCCTCTGTTTTTATTTTCCTAAGTGTCACTTGTTTTGTTTCTTTTTGTCGTCAAACATGACCGACTTGTGGCGGATTCAGTGAGACTGCAGACGCCGTCGCTCTGTGACCCGAGAACAGAAAGCATGCATTCAAATTGGATTTAAGCAAACTCTGCTCTGAGAGCAGTTTCAGACGTGTCATGAAGTTCAAGCATGAAGTCGGTGGTTTGATGTGCCGGATAACCGGGCCAACCTGTTTTCACGCTGGCAGACTCCCTCGGCTTTTTCCGCAGCGACTCTGTTGCAGACGCAGAACTTCTGATGTTCGCTCTGTTCTGGGTTTTTATTTATTTGTTAAAATATAATTTATGTGGAGGTTTTTTTCCTCGTCTGTTTTCCTCTTCAGGGAAAAAAAGAAAACAACAAAATGATGTAATAAATTACTCGAAACGCATTTGTGGCCAGTATTTCAGTAACGCTCTGAGCTGCTCATCCTGATTTTACTCGATTCTGATTTCTGCTGAAATAGCAAAATATTTGTTCATAACTTCTGGTTTAATGAATCCAGGAAGAGATGATACTACAAAATATAAAAACAAATAGCCTGCTTCTCTCTGCTTCATTGAAAAGAGGTGCTGGCACACATAAATCTTACTATAGAGACGCATACAGTAGAGAGTGTTAACTTTTTTTTTATGTCTTTTTGATAATATTAATCTTTTACAAGATATTAATCTTGTTTCTGCTAGATTTTGTGTCCAGCCTGTTGTTTGAGAGCAAAAAGCTTCAATGTTTTTGTTTGTACCGCTAAATGATCTATTCATTTATTGAATTTATATATAAGACTTAAAAAGCAAATGTTAACAGTTGGCATAAATGTTAATTGTTTACATTATAGACTGTTTAGCGTTTTATGTTAGCAATTAGCAGTCTGACTTCCCGATTGGTCTGAACAGCTCACCAGGAACTCACCACATTTCCGGGCGAATTCTTGAAGGTGAAACTTTTACCAGCGATTTTCTGTAACATTTCTGCTTGTCTGTTAGGTGTGGACATATGCGGCAGGACGGTGATGGTGGTAGTCGGACGAAACATCCCAGTAACCCTCATTGACCTGGAAAAGGTTCTTTTTAAAAATCTTCTAAGCACTTTTCGGGGTCAGACTGGCCCAATCGTTTCTTCACTTCGTGTTTTACAGAGCGGGTTTTTTTTTTTTTTAAATCGATTTCTGTTTTCCGTTTAGGCCTTACTGTACTTCATCCATGTGATGGATCACATCACAGTGAAGGAGTATGTGATCGTTTACTTCCACACGCTGACCGGAGAGCACAACCATCTGGACTCGGACTTCCTCAGAAACCTCTACGACGTCGTCGACATCAAGTCAGTCTGAACTTTTTCTCTCCCGAGTCAAACTGAACTCAGAGTTTCAACTCTTATTGAGTCCATGCTGGGGTTTGATCCGCCAACAGTTTATGATGGTCTTCATTTGAGGCTTGATAGACTAACTAGCTTCCAATTGAAGATGTTGAAACCGATCAATACTTTTCTGTTGGCAGCAGTGCTACATTTTAAAGCACACAAACCTCTTTAAGCTGAAAATAGCAGATAATTAAACCACCAACACTCTTCAAAGATGTGGTAGCTGAGCCAGGCTGAGTAATGGAGACCATAGCCAACTAGCTAACGACTGTAATAAAAGAGATGCAGAGTTTCCTTTAAGGAGTGTCTCACTCAAAGACGACATCAGTGCGTTTAACACACTGAACTTCAAAGGGAAGTGGCAAAAACAAATGAGCTGGATTAGAACTGCTTGCCAGAAACTGTTTACAGACTGTTGCTGTCTTCAGTCAGAGGTTTTTTTCTGATTCATTGTGAAACTGACTGCTACTGTTGGTCCTTCCTGCCCACATTACAGGATCTGTAAACGAGTTATGGCAAAATGTGATTTTCTTTCGTTGAACTGAGTTGATTTGAACAGTTCATTACTGTTGAACTGTTTTGTTTGAGAAGAACTTACTTACTCTAAATTAAATGCACTTTTTGCTTTAAGACACCAATCACGGCTAATCGTTCTTTTGGCTGCAACGATTTCTAGTTTTTTTATACTGAAGATCGGCTAAAAACAGTCAGAGAATCTTTAATGATTCATACCCGACGAACGTGATTTGTTCTTTGGTTTCTGACATGCTGGGTGCAGACTCCTAAAATTCTGACTGACAGTGAGTTTTTGTTCTTCTCACTGCTGCTCAGAGTTCATCACATGTGATTGACCCCTGTTCATCCACATGTTTTTGTTTTTTCCCCAGCATTGACCACTGTGCTCTTCCTTTGAATCTCAGTCACTCTGGCTTTTAAAGTTGTCTGTCTTTCCACTTCCTGATCTGATTTGGATACTGTAATTTTTTAAGATATCGGTTCTGTTTAGCTGAATACTTTCCAGCAATTCTTGTCCCTTTTTTTAGTCCGCATAATTAATGTGGTCTGTTTTAGACTTTAACAAAAATTATATTTACTCAAGATTTCACACCATTACTTTGGATGGGTTTTTTTTCTCCTTCCTTTTCTAACACAAACTACCTTCACAGAAGTCAAATATGTATTTATATCCACACACAAACAAACTTCCTGCCTTCCGGCTTGATAACTTCAAGAAATTTTTTTTTTGGGTGACCTGTGGGAATCTCCATGCAGCCACTACACCTTCAAACACAACATGCTGCTTTCTATAAATGTTCATTGGTTTGTTTTCACCAAGAGTTTCTCATTCATTTTCTATCTGGCAACTTTTGCCACTAGTTTCACTTCATGTGAGAAGTTCACACGAAGGACGACAGTTTTGATTTTGTTTTATGCGAGCGACCTGTTCAGATGGCGGACGGGCCGGGTGCAGCTTTGGGGCAGCCGTCTCAGAACATGGATGAAAACTCCTCCGTCCCACTTCCCCTTTCAGTGGAGCAGGGAAAGCCCACGCAGTCATTCACAATAACGCGGAGCGTCTTCACGCCCTTCGCTGATTCATCACAGACCTCGGTGAATGCAGGTGGAATGCAAATTATGAATGTCTCCTGACATTTCATTGTGACATGTATCTATACATCCTACATGGCCACAAAAAAGTCCAGGCAGAGATTGCTTTGCTGTTTGAAAATTTTTTTGAATGACATGATGTAATGTACATGCCAACATTTAGCTAGAAAAGCTACTTCCTGTTGGAGGTATTGTCATGATTCCCTGTTTCCTAGCAGGCAGCAGACTCATTTTGGCTTAGCATGACTTAAAGTTGCACTATGCAACTTTTACATATTTGTTAAAACTCACTATGTCATGACAGGATAGCATGGGTGAAATCCCCTCACCTGAAAGGCCGGGTCGGGGTTCATCATTACGAATTGTCATAGAGATTTAGGAAAAACTAATAGTGGAAGAGAGTTAAGAATAAAGTTATGACATGCTGTATACAAAACATTTAGAAAAGAGCCAAAAATCAGAGTCTGAAAAAATGTAAAAGATGGATAATTGCTTGTGGCCGACATCATAAGCAGCTGAATGCCACAGTGATCGACGGTGTAACTGCAACATGTTCGTCTGTATGGAGGGTTTTGTCAGCGTGACATCATTCGCTTTGTGGTTAAATCAGAAATGAAGGCTTCGGGCCGGGTCCAAAGCAATAAATGTGTGCTGTGGCTACAAATGGGTGCAGTGTCTTTGTAAAGCAGCGACTTCAGGCATGTGGCGCAAATATTCATGCACAGCCTGATCAAAACCGTTCAGGTTTGCTCTTTTGCATATCATAAAGTAACAATCACCTGCACATCTACACAGAGGATGAGGCTTGGATACAATGACAGAAAACATAGCAGGTCAAATGTTTGGCCGGAAAATGAGCTGCAGATTATTGCTGCGTGTTCCACAAATTTACGGTCTCACATGAAACGCGTTTGTTTTGGCAAAAGCAAATCAGTGCTCCTTATATAGAGTCTTTTAAGATCAGGCTCCTGGGCTTTAACGTCAATTTCTCCATGGTTTCTTGCAAAATAACTTTATGGACCCGTTCAAGCCCCCCGGCCCCTATTTCCTTTGCCTGTTTGTTGACTGATGAGGCAAAAAATGCCCCACCAAATAACATCGGGTCATAGCGTGAGCTTCACTACCTTCACCGTACAACTTTGTTTTTCTGTCCGAGGTTTGCTCTGCCCGGGTTACGCTTCTGCATGGGTGGAGCGATCTTGCCTTGGCGTCGTTTCAATTCTGTTAGCAGTTTCTTTGGACCATAGAACAAGCGATTACATTCACTTTGTCCTGTGAGAACTGATGTGCATTTGGGCAGAGCAGAAAAGGTTTCGAGTCCTGAACTCCCGGTCACACAGGGAGAGTCCCTGTCCAGTCAATGCCTTTCACACTGAGTGGTAGAGATCACTCAGTGTGTGTGTGCCAGGGAACACACCCTCCTACACACCTGAGGACTCGGTCCACCAGAGGGATTGTGTTCCTCTTGGGTATTTCTTTGCTACTTCTATTTGGGCATCCCCACACACATCTGTGAGGCTCTATTGTCTGTACCTGACTCGTTTTCTTTGGTTCACTGTGAAGTTATTGTGGGGTCTTATGTCCGTTGACTAGTCCTTGTGGTGATCCACTTTCCGTCCCTCAGTCAACCCTCATGTTATCAATTGGGTTCAGTAAACCTGGGACTGGGCTTCTCCTGTAGAGGGTTGAAAGAGATCGTGAGTAGGCACTGACCTCCTTGTATTTGTCATGTAGACTAAGTAGGTCGAACTGGTGGTAGTTGAGCCTCCATGCTTGGTCACACCAGAGGTTATAAATTTGGGTTATTCTGGTTTAAATAAATCCCTTCATCATTTTACATCCACTTTACAGTTATACAACAACTTTACCTTGGTCTGTCACATGAAACATTGGCTGCAAAATATGTTCAAGTTTGAGGTTTAATGTGACGCTTGAAAACATCTTGAAGTATTTTTGCGGGCATAGCAAGCGCAAAGAGGCAATAAACACAGATCAACATTCTGGGCACCGCCAGGTTTTCTAAAGTCAGATGTTCATGGCATGTCATCGATTTCAAAGCCCCAGTTGTTGAGAGGAAGTCAAGAACCGTGTCTGTGTGTTGGTTTAATCTTAAACAAAAAACACCGAGGTAGCTACCACCTTAGCATCGGTTTGTGACCTCAGCAGTGCGTCTCTGCTGTTTGCAGACTCGGATACTGCAGAGAGTTATGCTTATCTCAGTTTAGTTCATTTAGCGTCGACCTCTTGACTCCAGCGAATGGCTCAAGATGTCATAAAATGATGAATCAATCTCAGCTAGGTGTAACAAAGGAATTCACCAAACAGCTGCCTTGTGAATCACGTTAATGAGAAAGACTCATGAAAGATGTTTGAGGGTTTTTACCAACTTTTCAGCAATTCAGCATCAACAGTGGCCACATTTGTTCTGTATCTGTTCTTATTGCTGCATTTGTTGATGATCGATCACTTTCTCTGACCCCCCCCCCAACTAGCCATGGTTACAAAAACATCGACTGAGCTCACACGGCTGATTCTTGTTCTGGCCCGTGGACCAGTTCTGTGGACACTTTTTGACTAAACATGTGTCTCTAATTGCTGGGAGAATCGGGAAGCCGCTTCAATTTTAAAATGACATAACTTGGGTGTTCGGACGTTGGCCAGAGGCTGTTATGTGGAGAAGCCTATTTTATATCCGTCTTTACTTGTTTGTCACGTTTTTTTTAATGAGTTGTACATTTTCAGTGAGCAACACAGACACTGTGGTCTCTGTGGGAAAGCTGTACGACTGTGTGGTAATTGTTTCATCGCTGATGGACAGGTTGGAGCTGACTGTTGGGAAAATTTGTGGCTCTTGGACCTCAAACCCACACTTTTAGAAGCGCAGCTACAGTGACTTCACTTTGCACATGTTGTTTTCTTAATATATTGGTCATCTCATCCTTTCCATAGTCTCCAAGTTCACACTGATTCCTTTTGTTTTTACTTTAAAAGCGAGATATGAGACGGATTCTGTCTCATCTCTGCTGTTTTTTTGTTGTGTTGCAGGTATAAAAAGAATCTGAGGGCCTTTTATTTTGTCCATCCGACGTTTCGCTCAAAGGTAGGAGTCAGCGCCTTCTCTGCACTTTTTTTTTTAGCTTCCTGCCAAGTTTTCTAATTTGCAGATGCCTTACGGTGGAGCTGGTGTTGATTTGGAGGAAAGACTCTGCAACAGTGGGATTAAAAACAAACAACAACAAAAAACCCAGATCATCCATTACCTTTATTAGTGCCAGGTTAAGACGGTTTTCAAAGTATGCAGGTTTTCTCTTTTAATAAACATTTAAATAGCTGTTAAAGCAACATTTTCAGTTACAGTAACAATGTTGTGTTTCTGCCCTGATGCTCAGACCTGATGCCACTCGTAGTCTAGCAACCATAGTTTTTCTAACAGAGACGGGTTTCTGCACAGTAACATTTTTTAATTTGCAGTGAAAATTATTTCCTATTTGTCATATTATTATAATTTTATTCTCATAATGTTGAGACTCGAAATATTGACCTTATTCTAATATAACTTCAGCTTTATCCCCGTATTACGACTTTATTTTTGCACAAGTTTATTCTTGCAACAATATGAATTTATTCTTGTAATTGTATTACTTTATTCTCATATTTTTGTTTCATTTTATTTTATTTTTTATTTGTATGACCTTAATACTCTGTTGTAATTTGGTCCGAGTCTGAGAAACAAACTTAAATCATTTCACATCTGCTAAAAATGGTCTTCAAA